AAAAGCCTTAAAATCATTAATCAAAATGGATTGGTCAGAGAAGAAAACCACCCAGAATCAGCTCTCAATCCAACCATCAATGAGTCAAGTACCAAAAGTCATAACTTTTTTTTTTCAAAATTATAGGCATTTGCTCTGAACAAGAAGTATTTGGAAACAAGAAAGATGCAAGGAAATGAAACGAGGAAAAAAAACTAGAAAATAATAAAAATTATCAAAAAGTCAAGAATCAATAGAGGAGGATGAACCAAAAAATGGTATGATTCTATTACCTAGACCAAAAAAGAATAGCAGCCCAGAACGAACAGCAACCAAGACTGGATTTTTATCAGACAAACAGCAGCAGATTAAGCTGTAGATCTACAGTCAAGACCTGAAATGCAAAATAACCGCCAGAAATCAGCGCTGTCAAACAAAAATAACAAAAAAAAAAACAATCTTTCCATCCAAATTTAAGATTCTTTTTCCTCTATCGGCCACAAAGAAAACAAGATATTAAAAGAAAAAAAGCCCAAAACAGACAGACCTCACTGCTGAACAATCTGTGATAGATGAAGAGATACAGATGGAGAAAAGGAGAGAGATAAGAATAAAGAGAAAAGGTTTTGTAAGAAGAAGATGAGGAAGAAATGGTGGGTTATGGGTGTGAAAGAGGATGGAAGAGAGATGGGTGTGCTATTAGCATTTAGCATTGGGGGGGTAGAATAATGAGGCTGATTAAAGCCAGACCAACAGTAATCCTTTGCTATTTCAGTCAATTATGCATTTTTGACATTTCAGAAAATTAAAAAGTCATGTTAATCACGATCAGAAGCAACTGAATTGAATGCAAGAAATGTCAAGGATGGAAAATGAAATGGGACATGAGAAAGAAAATACTACTAATAGAAATCGGTATTCGGTAAGGCAGTGGCAGTAATAGTAGCGGTAGAAAACAAAACCAAAAACTGAAAAGAAAAGAAAAGAAGAAAAAGGAGAGGAGTTGTCATGTTCATGCATATGTGGGTTAAAAGGCCGCTTACCAAATGGCTTTTTTTCCTCATGTCTGATGTCTCCCCTCTCTTTTTCTATTGCCCTTAAACGTTAATCGCTGTCTTGAAATTTAAAGCTCTTCTTTCAAGGAAGGGGTTGGAGGGCTGGACGCCTAAAGCCTAAAGGGCATAGTACGAGTACTATAGTTTAATAAGAGCAGTAAATATTTTGGTTGAATGTTGAAATGTTTTTCTTTTTTGGTTGGTCTTTTCTGTCAACTCAACTGTGTCTCCCCAATGCATCTCCACGCCGAGCAGCTGGCCCCTGTTTGGCATCTCATAATCACATGTCCGTCTTTGCACTTCGTTTCTTTAAATTTAAAGGCCTAATGAACCTGCTTCTTGGTTTCACACTTGTGTGGGCTGTGGCAGTCTTCTTTTTTTTTTTTTCCTCTTTTCTCTTGGGAGGTGTTTTTGTGGTGGTGGTGGGGGGTTTTGGGGGAGGAGAGGGGGGAGTGGTTTTTCTTCTTCTTCTTTTTTGGTTCTTTAAAAATCGTGTTTGGTGAAACTAGTGGAATCCTATTATTATGTTACCACGCTTGTTTTCATAGTTTAATTGTTCATTTTAATGCTGAATTAACTCTTGCTCTGCTCTGCAATACTTAAAAGATAAGAAATGTATAAACAGCGAGGATACAAATTCTTAGGTCTTGTTTGGATTGCTATTTTCCGTCAAAAAATTACATCGTTTTTCGTGATCACATTTCCCTATTACTTTTTTCCCTCACATATATCAAATCGCTACAGTAATTTTTCTATGAAAAATCATGAAAAATGCAATCCAAACACAACCTTAGTCAATTAGACGTGAGAATCAGCTGTAACGTAATCTTTTCCTGTATGCACTAAACTCTAATGAACGATACCATCGAAAGCAACTAATCGTTTAACAAATATATTAATTCATTCGAGAGTAGGTGTAAGTAGGAAATTTTAAATTTTTTTTTTGTTTCAAATATATTAATTCATTCGAGAGTAGGTGTAAGTAGGAGGAGATTTTGAACTTTTTAACAAGCTTTGATTGAGTTGAATCAAATAAATACGAAATGGAGGTCTCCTTTTTCCCTTTCAAATTGCTGTATTCGAACAATCAAACCAATAGCAGTACTAGGAAACGGCTGGGTGCTCCCAATGACACCAAGAGGAGAACGAAAAGAATGGAATGCGTCTCCAATTAGCTCATTCAAATTTGTCATTTTTTTTATTCAAAACACGTGAAAAGCATGGCAAACTAGTATCAATTTAACACAACTAAACAGCTTCTTTTCTCCAGCACCTTAACGAAAAATTAGCGTACATGAGTACAGGGTGCATACCATGATTTGTGGGGGTATTTTCCATGTTGTGCTCAATTATCACAACTTGAGTAATGGATTTTATCTTAAAGGAAAGATAAATAATATACATTATTGTAAAGTCGAAAGATAAGCGGCACTTTATTCATATGTTAATTATCGATTCATTACTTCAACGCCCTTGGAAAGATTTATTTGTTGTTGAATTCATTGAAATCACACCTACATCTTAGCAAAGTACTCAAAATTTATATTTCTTTTTGTTCATAAGCGTCAGCTTATCAATTATTAGTAATTAAATTAGTCTTAAGGACACATAAAAGCCCAAAAGGAAAAGAACAAAGAGAAGGAAAGAAAAGCGGTGTAAACTGAAGGATTTGGTCACAGTAAAAATTGTCTCGTTACAAAAAACGATAGATACCTGCAAGTATATATAAATGGTCCAACCTTGTTATAATATTTAATTTTAAGATTAATCTTAGATCAATGGATCTACGTAATATTTGAATTTAAAATTTAACCTTTTTTTATGCTGGCAATGTATATGTCGCAAGTCAGTATGTATGTATAAAAGATCTTCTCTTAATTTTGACCCGCAAGTAAGTAGGCCGCAAGGCAGCTCCTATAATCTCACCATACCACGCAAACAGCTGCTGGGCACGGCAGCAACGTCGCATCATCCAAGCCTAGTGGTAGTGGGGCTCTTTATTCTTCTTCCAATTCCAAGTCTTTGGTTCTATAAATATGCTCATCCTCCTTTCCTTCTTTCCTTTCTCTCTCACACTCACCGCCTCACCTCTCTAGTCTTTGATTTCTTTCTTCTTTCAATCAAATTCAAAGGTGGGCTTGCTTTGCTTTGCCTTTTTCCTTTGTGTTTTGTATTGTTGGGTTTAGGTCACAAGTCACGAGACAGAAAAGCATATTAGCAATTGCCCATTAGCAATTGGCAATTAGCAAGCTTCCTATCTTTTTCCAAATGGTCTACTCAAACCACCCTTGCCTAACAAATATATATATATATATATATATATGTTACATAATTACAAGAGGATAAGTGTGATTCCATTCCCTGCCCAGAAGAAGGATGAGAGTCTATAATGCGATGAAATTTCCCGTGAGATTATATGCTTGTGAGGTCAGACAAGGCTGCTGTTAGCTTTAGTGTTAAATAACTTGTACATGACAAATTTTGGAGGTGCCGACATGCGCCCAACCATATCAAGCTACAGGCATCATCTCATTTGGTGGCACATCCTAATGTCCATCACTCTTTTTATCTCTACATAATTTTCATTACTTTCTGGGTCAAAACACTACTCTATGAGTCTATGGCCTAAGCAAAACATCAAAATCTACTGATTAATCCCATTAACAATCCTCCATTTTTTTTTTTTTTTGCTGCATAATAATACTCTTCCTACCAAACATTTTATGTTGTTCATGTATGTGTACAGAAACGCTTTTCTAATTTTCCATTGCATTTGTTGTGTCTTAAAGCAAACAAAATCTTACTGCTTACCTATTACCTTACGGCAATAAATACAAGACAAAAACTTTTCATTTCGCTCCGTTTTCATTAGGCAAAAGTAGTTTCCACGCAAGAATAGGGTAAGAGTGATGATAAACGCCTCTATTCTATAGTATATTTCTATGGGAAAGGGCAAAAAAAAAACACACACACACACACACAGAGACAGAGTGGAGCATCAATCTATTCTATGGGTCATTAAGCAAGAGTTGGACTTTTTTGCGTACACTGTGCTGTAGGAGGAGTCATAAAATCAAAGGGGTCTGTGTTGGTCTACAATTATGGGACCCAATCCTTCTATCAATTTCTCCTGTCTGAAAGGTAGGTGGTGCGGTGGCTCAATTTAATCGTGATGGCAGAAGCTTTATGAGTAATGACCCTCAGAATTTTGGGTCTACAATGACACAAGAATTGGAATGACCCACCCAATTTTACGTGTGTAAAAGCATACGGGTTTGGTTTGGGGTGGGGTGGGGTGGGGCAATAATAATATGGCTGCTCAAAACCGAAGGCAGTGATGATGGAATTGCATATTTCGCACAGCTGCGGGTTATGCCTATCGACCGGCCAAAAAAATGGGTAACAGATCAGATTTTGGTGTCCAAGAATAATAATCATAACACTGACTTGCGGAAAGATGACAAAAAAAACCCCTGAAGGAATCATCAGTGTCTTATAGCTACCACCACGACACATTATGACAACATGTTCATCTCACTCCTTGGAAGGGGCCACTTTTTTATGGTTTTGATAAGCGCTAAAAGTGTGATTATGTGATGGTTTTCTAAAGATCATCTGCTGCAGGCGACATGATCTTTTGTATTTTTCCACCCCAAGATGGGGATATGATATGTGGTAACACGATCAAGAAACATGATCCACAAGGCAAAGGGTATGAACTCCTGAAGAGAGTCTTTTGAGAATTCAGGAGGAGGAGAAAAGGACAGAAAAGAGGATGACGAATGAAGGGATGCGCCATTTATTGCTTGTAGCCGCGGACAGGTGCAGCATGCATCGTGAAATGAAGGAAATGTTGCAGCAACATCAATAATGATGCAGTCACTAGCGGATCATGCAAAGGCCAAGGCCGCTCCGTAAGCCTCATTTCCTGTTGTTTTTGCTTGTGATTTGCAGGAGGACAAATGATTGTTTTGATCGTGCTTTATGGAAAAACAAAATAAAGGTCAAAAGATGGCACACAGTAAGAAACAACACCGGAAAGGGGTGGACGCAAAAAAAGCCAAGCCAAGTACTTACAACTTGGTAAGAGATGAGAGACTCAAAACATAAAGCAGGCAGAACAGAAAAGAAATGGCGCCTCACATGATCCTTGGGTCATGGAATTCAAGCTCGCTCCTTTCCGCTCCACGGACAAAATACTAAAACAGTAGCAAGTATATCATGTTTTCCTGCGTCTTTTTATCGATTCCAAGTCTTGAGCCATGCCTCTCATCAGCCAGTCACTAAGTGAAACCGAAATGCTGGCTCACTCTTTATCATCATGAGAGAGACAACTAGTGGCTGCCCTGCTGCAGGTCTCCTAAGGAAAGGTGGCAATACTATCTTGATCTCCATCAATTTCCCTGTTCAAGTAACAACCTGAGTAAAATCCTAAGCAAGTTATCTGACATCCAAGCCACGTCCTGGATCACGAAAGATGAAAATTGCAGCCTCAGACTGTCACAAGTTTTGACAATAACAACAATACAAGCATCATTAGCCATGACAACTACATCATCTCTCAGGCTAACGTACAAAAATTCAAGCTTTCCCTTTGAACTTGCTGATGTTATCTTAGCGATTAATTGGTGTGTGCATCCTTTCAACTATCCTATTTACGGCATCACGAGACATCACTAGAGTGTCGTGCAACAAAATGCTATAGACATTCAATCCCTGCAAAAACCAAAAGTCAAAAAAAAAAAAAATCAGAACCAGACTAAGTGCTGGAGAAGAATCACCTCGAATAAAATCCAAAACAGCCTGTCACTACTGAAACAGGGTGGCAGATTATCAAGGAAAAATACAATTTATTTCTACATAAATTACCATCCACATTTTTGGTAGACATTTGAACTCTACTGAAACCATGAAATGGCTAATGGTTGTTCATTAATAACATAACAGGAAAAATAATCTAAATCTTCTTGAAAAGGAATCAGTATTTGAAAACTCATTGAAAGGTTATGATCTTCTTGAAAAGGAATCAGTATTTGAAAACTCATTGAAAGGTTATGGCAAAGATAATTATAAAAGCGTGATTGATGAGTAATTCCATAGTTCATCTGAAATTTTAAAAATTTGATAAATTGCAGTTCATCTTTCAGATGTGAATAGTAAGCAGGAATTACATCCAACAACAAACTCACGAGGGACAAATCAAAACTAAGTTGATACTTACAATTGAAGGAAGAACATTGACATAATGTATATTTTGGGTAGCAAGCTTCAGCTTTTCGTTAATTGCATCTCCATCCACCAGCAGAAGTTTCTTGGTATCCACCATTAGATTATAATAGCTGACAACATTTTTTGTCTTATGTGAAGGGATCTCTAAATCCTCAAAAACCATAAGCTGTGGATAAAGAACCATACGATGTCAAAACTAATATAATTAGATGAATGGGTGAACATAAAGAGCATAAGCTGGAAAGCTATTCCTCATCCTAAAAGAAATGATAAATGTTATCATTTCCATGGGAGAGGGAGGTAGAAAGGCCAAAACAACACTGGATAAATGTAGCCACACTAGAACAGAAGTACAAGCTTTATAATAGAAGATAAATCTCTTAAAAAATATAAAATCTTCAAATGAAAGAGACTTAAATCCTCAAGGGCTTCCAGGTTAATAGTTAATTAAAAGTAGAAATGACAATTTTCCAGACTCCCAAAATTCGCAATACTCTACAAATTCAGTCAAATACAACAATCTGCCTTATCTAACATATCTCGAGGTATCAGTGCTCAGAAAGGAAGGCTAGTGTGTGTGCTAACTTAATCCGGGAGGAAAGCCTCAATAAGGTTTTTAGCAGGTTAGTGCTGTTGTATATCCCAGTAGTTACTTCTCAATTGCAACGGAATTGCTGTTTAACAGATGAAAATACTTATATGGCAACTTGAGGGATAAACATCATCGGTAAACAAGTCCAATAATGCAATCAGAACAGAATAAAGTACCAACAATTAATATGATAAAGAAGCTCTATTTTTCACTATTAATGTTGGTGTACTCCTAATTCTAGCCGGAACTCTATCCTAGAAATCAAAGATGTTACAAGATACAAATCATCCAGTTATGGCCAAAATATTTATGCACTACAATGAAAGAAAATTATAAAGAGGCATATAAAATTATCCAGATAGTCTAAAGCATGAAGCGAATGGCTTTGCTCTGAAAGACTGGGGGTTTCTTTTTTAAAAAAAATGGACAAAGGGTTCTTTTTTCCCCAGACAATTAAATCATCATCCAGACCAAGAAAAACTTATGGCAGGACACCACAAGCATAAGAATAAATCAAATAAATAAAGGGAAACTAGGACTGAAGTAACTTTTGGCTACATAGGGGTCCAGGACAAAATTTTTGCCCATTGTTCTAAGACAACCCAACCAAATTCTAGATAAGAAAAACAAGGAGGAAATTATATAAGACAAAGTACGCTTTCAAAAACTCGCCTTTCCTTCTGCTGCTCTAGCTGACAATGCAATCTTTAGCCCCAGTCGACGGACCTTCTTATTCAGCTTGATAGCATGACTTCGTGGTTTGGGACCATGCATAGTTGCACCACCCCTGAACTGTTATTCAGCAAGCAAATCCATAGTAACCATTCAGAGTCATACAAAAAGCACCATCTATACAGAAATATAAGACAGCAGTACATCACCTGAGGACCTCGCAGTGTTCCATGTCTCGCTCGACCAGTACCCTTCTGTCGCCATGGTTTTCTACCAGTTCCACTGACCTCGCTAATGGTTTTGGTTGAATGAGTTCCCTGACAAAAACTCACTGCTCTAAGAAAATTTCACAATAATAAATTATTCTCCAGCTTAAAGCTCATTAAGAAACTATTAATATACACCAAGCACGAAATATCCTCCACTGCAAGAACTCAAACTTCCCTTCTTATATGCAAATAACAATTAAAAATGTTGAAGATAACAAGATACTAGATGCCAAAAGTTAAGAAAGTTTAAAAAACTGCAGAAGGTTATATTGACCTCACTCAGTGGCATGACATTAATAGATTTGCTATTCTTAACTCAATTGTTTAAGAGGAGGATACAAGGTACAATATTGGCTTGTGAAACATTAAGACATGTTATCCTGTCAATTTATCATACTTCCAAGTAAAGAAAGATCATCCTACCTGCTGTCGTTTTGCAAGCTGCCACCTTACAACACGATGGACAATATCTTTCCTAATTGGAACATCAAAAACATCGCCAGCCAAAACCATCAAGCCTTTATCTTCATTGGAAAAGTTTGTGACCGGAATCACCAGGTCCTGACAAAGTCCTAAGAAATCACAAATAATCAACACAGTAAACAAGTGATGTTTCACTAGTTGAACACAAAGTAGCAATATGCCAGTCTATAAGAAATTTTACCTTCATCGGATGAGACAGAGAATATATAACAAATCAAAACCAAAAGTAAACTTCATTTGGTAGGGCCAACTCAATCTATAACCTTCCCAGAAACAGAAAGTAAATCTCCTAGATAAACTAAAACATATCCTCATGTAAACTGAAAATCCACTACAAACTCTTATTATTTGCAGCCAGAAGCCTTTAAAAAACTTGAAAATTCTGGATTTAAGATACAAACCTAATAAGAGAAATTTGTATCACTCTCTTCAATACATTGTGTCATACCTACCTTGTCATACATCACTATAAACTCAATCATATCGTTATAAACCAAATGCAACGAAATTCTTAGAGTCAAGCCTAAGGTGTGCAATCATCTAATGCAATTCAAACTGCATTAATTGGACACTGTTTCAATTCATTCCTCACAGAAAAATTGACTTATCCATCGATTCATGAGCTAGATTTTTAAAAAAAAAAAGTGTAGAAAAAGAAAGTTTAATACAGCAAAATTTTCCAAAAAAATGGAGCATAATGAAGCATGCTAATCTTTCCAGAACGTATCTAAAGAAAAGGCAAGTATTAGAAGTCATACCAACTGTGCGCTCAGGGGGGAAAACCCGTTTTCTGGACAACAAATCTGAGGGAAATGCATCTTCACATGATCCAGGAGTTAAGATAGAAGTTGAAAACCCTCGACAAGCAGCGATAAGTAACTCATTCTGCAGTCAAAAACCAGAAACAAGAAGAAAGCTAATGAATATGATGCGACCAACAAAATGTGCTACCATCTTCTTTCAAAAGATTCATTTTTGCGGAAAAATTATGAAAAAAAACAAGGGCACAACCACGGAAGACAAATTTCAAATCCTAACTAATTTCTTGCAAGATCAGTATAAGCAAATTGTGATAACTAATCCAGTTACCTTTTGAAGAGCAGATAATTCAACAGAAAACACACTTTGCCTAACAGCCCGCTGACAGCTCAAGCCTGCAATAAAAATTTCCCCCAGAATAATAATAAAGAGTCAGATTTTAGTCAAGTTATTCAGGAGAACAAAAAGAGCATGAAGGTAACATACCACTAGAAAAACCAAGTGCCGAAGAAAATGCACCATTCCAAGAACGAAAAGCCCTTCTTGAAATCCAAAGTGCCATGCTCCAAAATGATAAACTCTCGAATCTAAGAACTCTTTATCCTTTTAATTTGAAGGGTTGTTTCTGGTCCAGCTAAACGGGAACCATCCTGGGAAAATTTATTGTTTCACCTGAAAGTTCATATTTTTATCAATGGATGATTACCAGAGTAACAGATAACGGAAGAAAAATTAGAACACAGAGCCCGAGATATCATAAAATTTCCCCCCATTTGCATTGCTAGGCAGCTGAGGGAGGGGGTTGTTGGCGGAAGCATACCAGCAAAGTGACTGAGAAAGGCGAATTGATGAAGGGTTCCGATGGCACAGCCCCGAGACTCAAGTAGTAAGAAGAAGAAGAAGAGAAGCAGCTACTGAAGAAGAAACCCTTTCATAAACCCTTTGCCATGGTAACTATTGGGGAAAATGGCCAATTTAGTCCCTAAACTTTTTTTGTCCGTCGATTTAGTCCTTATATATTATTTATAGCCAATTTAACCCTTAAACTTATATTTCGATTCCAATTAAGGAACTCAGCGGCGGAGCCACCGCACCATTTCTTTCAAGTTCCTAATTGAGCAACCCAAAAAGGGTATTTTTGGAATTTCAATGGTGGGGCGGTAACAAAAATTAAAAAAAAGTGACATTAAACAAGAATTATACACAAAATGTTGATTACTAAAACAGCAGTAATTCTTCTCCTCCTCCTCATCGTCCCCTTCAACAATGCTGCTGCCACCTCCAATTCCACCGCTAAGCAGCAGACTCTGCCAATCACAGTCGGTCTCCTAGTTCAACCCAAAGCTTGCCCCTAAGTCCCTCTTCGCCTCCAAGAAATTTGAGGGCTCCTCCGACTTGGTCGACCTTCGCTACCACATGGGCCTCGTCCTCTCCTCCCCGATCAACATCTACCTCATCTGGTAAGGCTGGTGGGCCGCCTCCTACCAGCTCCTCATCAAGGACTTCCTCTTCTCCATCTACACCTCCGATCGCCGCGCCACTCCTTCCCTCTCCGTCTCCCAGTGGTGGCGCACCGTCTCCTTCTACACCGACCAGACTGGCGCCAACATCTCTAGCTCCGTTCTCATCGTCGGGGAGTACTCCGAACCCCGCTGCTCCTAGGGCACCCACCTCACTCGTCTCTCCATGCAGCAGGTCATCGCCACCGCAGTTCGATTGAAGCGCTTCTCCATCGACCACAAGAACGACATCTACCTCATCCTTACCTCCGGGGATGTCACCGTCCAAGATTTCTGCTGAGCTGTTTGCGGCTTCCACTACTTCACCTTCTCGTCCGTGGTGGGCTACACGCTACCTGTGCGAGGGGAGACAAATATTTCACAGAACCTGTGAAAGGGCATTCTCCAATATTGGGGATTTTGGAATTAATGGTTGATCTGTTCAAAGCCTTTTTTGTTCTTCCCCTTGCGTTCCTCGGTACCTTTGCCAGGACACCCATCAACCAAGTCCAAAAGAATGGCTTCTCCCTTGGCATAAGAAATCCCTTCGGCAGCATTCAATTTGGTTTTGGAGGCCAAGATGGCAGTAACTTTGATGGCTTCCAGCAACCTCCTGATGACACCCAGCAGCCCTCCGACAAGAAACTCGAATTCCGTACAAATTTCCGAGGTCATTGGAAGATTCATTCTGAAAATGCTGGAGTTTCAGCCATGTAGTTCCAGTTGCTGCCTAACAACAAAGCCGTGTGGTTTGACACCACCAACCTTTGCCCTTGCGGAATTCAGTTTGATCATCCATATTGTCACGAAAAGAGAAGGATAAAAGGAGGAGGAGGAGGTGGGTGGTTGGTGGCGGAGATTGGTAGTGGAGAGAAGATAATTTAAAATTCCTAAAATGCCCTTGTTTGATGTTAAATTAGGGGCTAAATTGCTTTTAGATGGCGGCGCCGCCGTAGAAGGCCTTAATTGGACTCGAAAATTAAGTTCATGTATTAAATTGGCCAGAAATAAAAGTTAGGGATTAAATCGACAGAAAAAAAAAATTTAGGGACGAAAATGGCCATTTTCCCTAACTATTTCTGTGTTTTGGGGAGAATTGTTGTCCGGGTCGGAGTTAAATGAGTTTGGTTTGCACGTGCTTCGGAAAGAAGTGCGGCCCATCAGTCTATGGTCTAAGCTAAAAAGTTTTGTGGGCTTTTCTCGTATCTTTGCCCACATTCATTTTTTGATTTTGAACTTTACTAGTCTTTCGTCCAAAAAAAAAAAAAAAAAAAATTTACTAGTCAATTGCCAATGATTTTAGAACCCACCAGTATAAGTTTTACACAATTTCATCGGCCGGTCGTGTCCGGATCCATTTTAAAAAAGAAAAGTTAAAAAAAAAAATCAGAGTAAAATAGCTTCACGAAACTCAGGTGAAAAGTTGAAGAGATATTCGTCGATAATTATTTTGGGTTGCTTGTCAAAAATTAATAGCACCCTGTAGATGGGAAAATAGTGGAGCATTTTGATGACGACTCGGTGGTGTACAGGTAAAACGACCCAATCAAACTCCTTCCTTTTTTGCTGGAAACATGATATGAAAACGCGAATGAACATTAAAATCGACTATTTATGCGGGGTCCTAAATGCTGCTCCATCTTCTCAAGCGGCAGCAGTTGAGTTAACCGCTACCACCCCAACAAGCACATATGTATATATACTAATAAGTTGATGATAAACGAGCAAATTTAAAATCCTAGTAAAAGAGACCTTCATGTCCAGAAAAAACTAGACTTATTTTAATTGGATCTAGTGATCTGCTATTATACATCAGCACAGCGCTTCAATTCATACTTCTTCACATTCTTGACACTGAGAATGACCGATGCAGTGACCAGCTAACACACCTCATTCAATTGACTCCGTTGACCTTCCCATCTTTGCACAGCTTTCTCACCATCTTTAGCCACCTCCACCCGGGCCAGTGCCTGCTGTAAATTGATATTGAGGATCTGCAGGTTCAATACTAAAAACCATTACCAGCTTTTCATCAAGGATGAGATATAGGAAAAGCAAGACAAGCATCCACAACCACCTTATGAAACATGGTTTCCTGGCCTTCACATGATCATTAATCCACAATTGAGGTAAATCTCATTACTGGCAGTACTCCCCTCCACCTTTTCGCATTTTCTTCATTCCATAATCCATATTGAACAACTCAGTTTCTAACTCATTGTGATATCAGTTCTATCAATATGTGTGATTCATATCTCCTAGAGAAAATTAGATCATAACGTTACTTCCTGAGGAAGTAATCTGAGCATCAAGACTCCAACTGATGAAAATCTGCAGGACATCGTAGATGTCTGTCTTTTGTATCTTTTCAAACACAATAATGTTACCACTCCTAAAAAGTTAATCAGTCGACACCCGGAAGCAAGCATAGAAGGTCATCGACCTCTATATAATCTCCTTCTAGAATGGTTTTCAAGTCCTGCACAGCCAAATCGTACAAATCATCAGCAAGGAAGTAATGATTGATCCATGGGCCGTATAATTCTACATGTTCAAATTCAACAGATCATAAAGAAAAAGCAATCTCCATTCTTGTTAATAAGAAAGCAAAATCTATCTGGATAAACTTAAGGGCGTCAGTAAGTAAACTCGGAAAGAGTAGTTAAGGAACCACATTCAATTTCCAACCCATAAGACGAATGAGGAGATAGAAGTTTGAAGAAGGGAAAAGAAGATCATGTTGGGAAAACAGGAACATTTATTACTCTATACATATAACATCTTCATTTCTGCATGTTCAGGAAAGCTCACTGGAAATCTCAAACTTACTTATCAGGTCAATCAATTCAAGACCATCACTCGGAAGTTTTCAGCATCCCATTTACCAAAGAAAAAATGTTCATTCTAATATGGCAAGTAAATCTCAACTAAGAGGACTGTCTACCAACTTATCCACAGAATTTACAGTAAAAAAGAAAAAAGGCTTATGACCAACCTCTCTGTTTCTCCTCAAGAAATCGCACATATAACAGTCACTAAAGTCCTAACGCCAGTGAACCTCCAACAAAGTGAATAGAAAAAGAGCAATCCAAAAGGAACAAAGAATGCTATTGAGCTTTGACATTCCACAATCAGACAAAGCAACTGTTTTGAAAATATACTGCAGAAGTCTAAGCAGCAGAATCCTTCTAACTATAACTGATAGGAAAAATTTCGCTGAATTGAAAAGAAGAAGATTTCAGGTTTGATACCTGCTCAGAAACAGGCTTGAGGCTAATGGTCTTGTCTAACTCATTACCCTGTCCTGTAGGGAGCTTCAAAACCTCATTATCATCATTTTGCGTACTCTTGTCATGCATTTTAGATTCTCCAATAACTGATGTAACACTTCCATCATATTGAACACCTATATGACGCACAGTTGCAACACTTTCCTCACCGCAGGAACTTATATTGTGCTCTGATAAGTTATGTCCCAGATCAGATTTTTTAAACACTCGGCAAAGGACAAAAGATCCCTGCATAAACTTTGAATCATGAGATTCTGAATAAATTTTGTTGCAGCTTTAACCAAATGAATTAGAGCAGAAACTTCTAACATAATCCAATAACCAAATTTCCTAGATCTTTTAATATTCAATCTGATCATATGGGAAAGCAACCATCATCAAAATATACTTGACATCTACACAGTACACACAGATGGAAATAAATGGAAATCACAACCCTAGGAAGAATACACAACATCCGAGTCATATATGAAAGATGGTGCACACATTAGTCTCAGAGTGTAGGACTGTCGAATAGAAGCTGACATCAAGATCCTTGAAACAAGAAACCATCTATTTTCTCCTCTTCTCGCACACAGACAAATCATGATCAAAAGCTTGTCCAGCAGCAGGGTAATGGGTATCACACAGTGAATCTCAAGTCTAAACCGAAGCCTCCCATTCAGGATCTTCACAAATCAAAACTACTTTCAATATGTTATTAGGAAATATTCACGATGCATTTTTTCTTCTTGCCTTTAACATTAAGATCAATTAAGAAAATCACCTTTACATTTTGAAACAAAATATACTTTCTTTTACAAAAAATGATTTCATCACACCAATGCAAAAGGCACCAAAAGCTATTTATAATGCGTAATTGATAATAGCAAGATAACAAACACAAACTTAAACCTAATTCCAAATAAGAAATAACTAATCTAGCTCAACAGGTAAATCACAAACTTTATGTCTCTATTTGCGCCTGTATGTGCAAATTCTAGTACCAAGTACAATAAAGTAGAAGAGAATTTTAACAGCTTTATTAGGGAAAAAATGAATTAAATCCACATTGACCCCACTAAAATCATTTCCCGAAACCAGCATAAGCAAGACTGCCAACTGACAATCATTCATTTAACATGGCCGAATCCAATTTCTACTTCATACCCTTGAATTTAGGAAGCATAAATTACCACCAAATTTTCTCCATAAATAAAAAAAAAAATAAAAAGAACCGCAGAACCCAATTCGCAATGAAAATGAAAGTATTTGGGGGAGAAAAAAATTCCCATTAGATATTAACGTCAAGTTAACTAATTATCCAAAAAAGTTAATCTACTCAAACCCAATCAGCTTAGACCAACAACAATGTATAACTTCTACCAAAATATCAGGTACAAAACTTCAAATTTTCACCAGACCCATAACTTAATAAATTATCATCAAAACATAAAAGAAGATTAATACCATATGACGATCATTGAGAGCATATTCATACAGGGCCCAACGAGTCCTAACAGCATTCTCATGTGAATCCCCCGAATAAAAATCAAAACTTTTACGCGTCCCCACCACAACTTTCCCTGCACCCGCATCAATTACATCCCTAACCCTCCCCCTCTTTTTCCAATACCCACCACCGGCGACTCTCCTCCTCCCTGTCTCCCTCAAAACAACCCTCCTAACGTAACAATACCAGTGGCGCCTCCGCCCTCCGCTGCCGAACCGGAAGCAACCCGATTCAGGTAAGTTGAACGGGTTGAAATTGTACAAGTCTAACTCTTTAATTACGTCTTTGCCATAACAATTGGTGCCGTTGTTTTTAGAAGTAAGGTAGTAGCAGACGAGCTGTTGCTCGGAAGGGTAGAATCGAGAACCTGGTGGAAGACAAAACGACGTCGGATCATCCGGGGGCATTGGATCCTCTCCCCTCATTTGTGGAAATTTTCCGCGAGAGCAAAGGCATGGACAGGGGACAGAAGGTAGGGTTTTATAGCAGTCAGGGACTCAAGAAGCGTGGCCCTGAAGTTTGTTTGGGGTTTTGTCTTGTGTAGTGCTAGCGCAAAAGAGTGTTCGTGCTCCTCAGTAGTGCGAGCTCGCGGGTCTCTTTCCACGATTATGCTGAATGGTTGATTGCTTTGCTGCTTAATCTTGTGTGACCTCGTTTGGAGGGTTAAGGATACTGTTTATAAAGAATACGAGTGCTTTTAAGGATACTGTTTATAACCTGCTAAATTAACCTACGTTAAGAAAATCAGTTACTAAATACCCTAAAAATACATTGAATAAATCTTATAAATATCCTAAAAATACTTTAAATAAATCTTATATACACTATCACGGGTAGATATACGATACATATGCAAAATTTAATTTTCAAATTCAAATTCAAATTATATGTCGTACATCTAATGATGAAAATATATACACTACTGTCAGTGTATAAAAGATTAATCCAAATACTTTTAGTGCTTAAACTTTTTTATTGTAAACGCATTGCAACGCTAAACGGGCCATTAGTGTGGTTTAACTTTAGTAATCTTCGAAGTACATCAAAGCTATGACAAATATAATTTATACTAAAAGCCATATTTAACTTGGGATTTATAATTGTTTAGTAAAGGTATTTTTCTGTAGCAGATCGAATGTCTCAAATCAATCAATTTAGGTATCGTGTAATTGTTGTCTAATATGTATTTTATTAAAGACTTTTGGATTGATAGTAATGTAGTAGATGTGCTCGTTCAATTGAACTTGCTCTATTGGAAATTGGAATTGAAATTTGATGCAAAAGTGTGAATAAATTAATACGATTAAACAAAAATATACCTATATTGGAATTGAAAAATGATTCAAAAGTATGATTGATATAATAAGTTAAATTCTTCTTGGTCAAGGTTTTCCTTTTCCGGGAATACCCCATATCCACAGTCTATACTCTATAGGTGCATGTCTCACCTTTTGAAAAGTCAACTCCATTGACAAACGAGGAATGCAACCGCTCAGTGGCCACCGTCTATTTGGCGGACCTTACCTTCCATTAAAAATATCACATTTCAGTGACTTGTTTCCAAAAAATTCAAGTGCGCGTGCGGTGCACTCGTCTGATTCGATGTGGTTCAGTTCCCTTCGATTTATTTTTGAGCTTTTTTAGGTCCGTCCCCTTCCTCTTAGTGTAGGATATATTAGGTTTATCGTCTCCGATCAAAAAAAAAAAAAAAAAGACAAACCAGGAATGCCCTCTGAATACTGCGCTTACTGAAGAGGGATGATGTCTGTCTACTTTTGTTCCGATTGTTAAGTTCATTTGAAAGAATTTTAAGTACGCCTAGGTTGCGATTGGAATGCGGGATTTAATGAAAGATTGAAATCTTCTCAAATTTTTATAATTATTTATGAAGTATTTAAATTTATAAATTACAAATTATTATAGTGTTTAAAATATATTTTGATAATTAGTGGATTATAAATTCAAATGTATCTAAATCAATTCAAATAATTAGAACAACTTGAGCGGATTTCAAATTCTTCGTCAAATTTCTCAATCTAAAAAAAGAAAAAAAAAAAGAATGCATTTTGCCTCTTTTATGGTAGAAGAATGCACCCCGAGTGTGTATATCATACATGCAATTCGCGAAACATTATCGACCCTTTTCTGGTTGAACTCCCCTGGCGTTTCTCTCCACTGTAGTTCTTGAAACCAAACATTCACTAAAGGATAATTTGATTTTCACTTTCTTTCCCATTAAAAGTAAAAATGATTACCATTTCATTTAATTTTCAAGCATGAGATGCGGAAGGGGTCCATCATGATGCACTGATTTTCGTGATTCTGAACAAGTTGAAATTGCAAGAACATATTATTATATTGTGTGATTTACAGATTTCTGACATAATACAGTTCGTTTTCGTCTACATTAAAGCACAAGAACTCCAGAAATAACGAGTCCACCTAGTTGAGGGGACATCGGTTTACTCATTGACTGGAATGCTGCGAAACTGTAGTATCTATCCGGTGTGAAGTGCATGGATGCGTGAACAAATCTAGCCCCAGGACTGTTATCGCATCGCCGGTGCAGTCAATATAAAGGGGCACATGAAGGGCCGATTTTCTTGTTTCAGTGTTGCAAGATGACCTGATAACTGGTAGAAACGGAGGATGTTGAGGGAGGGGGAGTCCGTTGAGCATCTTCAGGGGGTCCTTGATTTGGTTTTTACTTTTACTTGATTCTGGAGACTTGGCGGAAGGAAGGGAGGCCTTTCTGCATTTGTGTGAAGACGCCATGATCTGAATTAGCTCAGACGCAATGGTTCAGGGGTGGTTTTGAAGGGAATCCGCATCTTTGCAAGTGTGATCACCAGTTGATGCAACTTCCAGGCTGCCCATCCCAATCCATTTCTCCGCAAGTAGCTGTTGCTGCCACTGTCTGTATGCAGTTACCCAAGTAATCATCTGATAAAGGTGGATTTAGCCTTAATCTGTTATTAACATTTCATATGACATTATTGTGTTTTGTGAGCCGGGCTCAGGTTTCAAGCCCTCATGATACACCTCCGGGCATGAGCTGATACAGAGCCTGGAAGGTGGAAACTTCCATGATCCATCTAGGCGCTTCTTGTACGCTCTTGAGTAATTGGTGACGGCGAGTGAATGCTACTACTGGGCTGGGAGGCTGACTGAGAGTTTGGACCATATGCATCCCCTCAGGAAACCAATGTCCACGGGTTGCTGGTCTGCACTGCGGATGGTCATGTTTTCCTTCCCCCGAGTATTTGTTTGCTTTAAATATCTCAGACCAATGTGTTGAAGATGATGTCCAATCCACCAGCATATGATTAGCGGAACGTCCAATGCAGATGCCATCAGTCATCTCCGTGACTTGAATGCGAATGGTCAGCAGCACTCAGTAGAAACGAGGTGTGGGCTTCGTGGTTCACGACTCTACAATTTAATTTTGGGCGAAAGGATATCCATTGTTGTGACAAGTAAACTGGTTTGGTTACTGTGAGATACGACGAAGATAAAGCACTGTGAGATATGATGATAAATCCCAATTAGGGAAACTCATTGCTGCTACTTTAGCAAGTCCTACTCCGCCTATACTTGGCGCCAGTCCACAAAGTTGAAAACCCCATTCATTCTTTTATCTATTGAATTTTTAGTTGTATACACTGACTAGGATATCCTTCTGGGGCAACATGGGAGTTAATTTTCGGATACTTTGAACCAATACAGTAGTATATAGAACTGCGCGTAACGTGCTGGTGAGCATCATACTATTATTGTTTGCCTGGCCAGGGAGAATCAGTTGGGGTTGTCCAAAAAATAAACTAAAATAAAAAGGGATGAATTCGCAAATTCTTACCAGCCGCCGAAAATGCTGAAGAGAAAAACCAACCCTACTGTCGGCGATTGCATGGAACTAAAAAATAATTGATTTCGAAGGGACTCCCAAGTTTGTTGAAAAGACACCCCGTCTCAGAGTCGGACTCCTCTACTATCAGTACTGGTTCTATAATTTTTATTTTAGGAGCACTCAGACACCGCGAAAACACGCACTGGCTCATAGGTTTCTCTAAGTCGGCCCCCTCTGTACTACATCCAAAAACGTATAGGCTTAGTCGACACCCCAGGTCAGATTTGCCTTCCTCTCATGTACCGGGTGGTTCCTGCAGAGACCTTAGCGCTCGAGCAGTTTTCTCTTCTAGTATTATAATCCTGGAAATCATCTCAAAAACAGTTTTAAAAACAAATTACCAGCCATTAACTCTCTAAACAATATCCAAAAATAAGATGAGAATAAAACTAACTCCGCCAGGTTCAAAATTCCAATCTATCATTCGAAAACTCAGTTCTAGAATCTAATTCCTTCCCTACCAAAGATATTGATCTTGATTCTATCAAAAACTCATTTCTTGCATTCTCATCACTTCACGCGCTCAGGAAACGATGCTGTCACTCAGGGAAAGTGAGGCTAGCTGATCAGCTGGGCCGCTTCCCTGCTGAACATTCTGCAGGACCTCCATTGCCTCAGCAACTTTTGCCTTTAAAGCATCTGGTGATTCCAGTAGATGCAAGACCTCTGTCTGGTCCATCTCCAGAAGCATGCCTGTAACTTTGGCTGCATAATCAGGCTCCAGCTGATCAACCAAGGGATACAGATTTTCACCCAACATCTGCAGCATAGAAACATGTTAACAACCATCTAGACAAAACCTATTTACTGAAGCTTCATATAAAATGTTATATCCTACCGTGCGTTGCTGTTCTGGGGATGCATTTGCAAGCGCAGATGCCAGAGCGGTAGTTGGCATTGGCTGACCAATGGTACCTTCTCGGGGAAGCGTCCCACCCATGTCATATGGAGAGAGAACGCCTCCTGCTACACCAGGCATTCGCACATCAGGAACACTGCGGCCAGGTGGATACCTAAACATCCGTCCCCTTGGTAGCATCTGACAAACAAATATTTGACCTTAGTTCTGTTACACGAAAAAATACATACATAACATATACAGTAAGAGACCAACCTGCTGCTGCATCAATGGCACTGGCTGCTGGGCATGTTGCACTGGCCCTGCTCCACGCCTTCCACCAGGCCGCTGGCCTTGCTGGACCAGTGGCACAAAGAAATTTGGCAAAGGAGCTCCACCAGGTCGCATTCCAGGTACAAGCTGCTGCTGATATCCAAATCCAGCCTAAAAATGCTTATCCCATTTAAGAGTACTGCCACAAGAAGAGAAGAAAAAAAAAAGAGCAAAAGGAAGGGGGGGGGGAGGCGGGGAGGGGAAGAAATGTAATGGCAAATACAGCAGTCAAAGGACAAGCTATAACCTGTGGAGGGATTATAGTAGGAGGAGCTTGCCCATAATATAGATGTTGTCCAATAGCAGGACCACCAGGAGGATAAAGAGGCATTCTAGGAGCAATAGTTGGCCCTATTGCAACAGGCCTCATTTGCGCAAACTGAGCCTGCATTAACATCAAAATGATGAAGTCTGTCAAGAATTACAGTACCACATTCAGCCTAAGCCACACAAAACACGCTTCTGCAAGGCATTGTCATAACGATTCAGCTATGACAAATTGCAGCACATAATTACTACTATTTCTGCTTTAGGTCCCATGGAACCCTTAAATTTCAGAAACGAAAATTTGAGACCAAAACTGAACAACAAATACAGCAAAATAGGAAAGCTCAAAATCCAGTATACATGTAAGCTGAGAATGCTAAAAATCTAAATGGATATGACAACTAAATTATTGAAATTTTTAAGCACTACTAAGAAAATTCAACCATCAACCATCCACTCATATTCTAATAGACATTGTGTACTTTTTTCTTATGACTGACATAACCAATGAAAATAGAGATTTGACACCCAGAATATGCAAAAGGATGCAAATAACAGCATTTGGCAAGGAGAGTCTCATGCAGGAAAAATCAATATGCCATATGAAAGCATGTTAAATTAAGTGCCAGCAGGCGAAGAATTCTTATATGTCATCCACAAAAGCAACCAGAAAACATAAATAAAAGCAGCAAAGGAGAAATCTCCTGAAAGCACGAGACCTGTAATCTTGCTTTTCGCTCTTCTTTCCTCTGCGCCAGTGCAACATAAAGTGGCTTGCTGATCACCATCTTTCCATTCATCTCAGAAAGCTATTAACAAGAAGGAAACAACCTAGTTAGCTTCTCACCATTCCCCATATAATAGAAACATAATCTAATTTATCATCGTACAGCTCTAGAAGCTTCTTCAGGAGTTGTGAAAGCTACAAAACCTGATCCTCTGCTAATACCACTAGGATCCTGCATAACCTAAAACAAATCAAGAATGTAGTTAGGAGGACATGAACAAACCAAGGTGAACATTTGAAGGATACTCCAACATGGAGAGATGGAAAGGAAGTATAGGACAAGAGGATCAATTAAAAAAAAAACTAGAGAGATTTGAATATGCACCTTGCATGAGGTTATGGTGCCAAAATCCGAAAACAGTTCCTTAAGTTTATCATCATCAATGCTGTCATCCAGGTTCTTTACATATAAATTCAAACCTTGATATTTGTCTACCACTTCCTTTGCCGTTTGCTCAAATTGACTCTTGAGCTCTTGCTCTCTTTCAGACTTCTTTTGGGCTTTTCCAACATACCACTCCTTGTCATCATATTTTTTTCCATTAAGAGCATCAACAGCTTTGGCAGCATCATCTGCATTCTCAAAGTTGACAAACCCAAAACACTTGGATTTTCCATCTGCATCCCTCATCACCACTGCACTAGTGATTGCTCCATGCTCCCCAAAAATTTTCTTTAGATCATCATCTGTGGTAGACTCTGATAGATTTTTCACATAGACATTGTTAAATTTGGTCCTACTGAAGGCGGACTCTCTCTCCTGCTTACGAAGGAACTGACCAACATACACTTGCTTATCGTTAATAAGCATTCCATTCAACTTATCAATGGCAGTCTGAGCAGATTCTTCATGGTCAAATTGAACAAAACCATAACCCTTAGATTGGCCATTGCCGTCAGTAGCTATCTTGCATGAAAGAATGTTGCCAAAGGTTGAGAATGTATCATGCAAAGCTTTGTTGTCAATTGCCTTGTCCAGATTCTGCACAGACAAGAACAATTCAATACTCCACACAAAGCATGCATAAGACAATGGCATAGTACAGTAACATTTAACCCTGGTGGTGCTTTAAGAATATAAAGCATAAAATCTCAAGAGAGAAAGAACTGTACAACAGTGTTTTATTAATTCTTCAAGATCACAGAATTAGGCTAGAAAATTTACAATGCACAGCATCGTTCAATCAGATTTGATGCTCATGGGCCAAAGGAGGCTACTGAAGTGTACTAGAACAAAGCAAATAATCTAAAAACTGAAATTTGTTCAGTGCTTTATCAACAATAAAAAATTTTTAATCCATGTCATGCCAAGTAAGACTATACCCAGAATAAACAAAGGGACCCGCATGGTGCATTAGATAGGGGCAAGTAATAACCCTAATAACTGAAAAGTTATTTAGCATCGTTATTCATTTAATACTAATTGCACAGCAACCCTAGCAACATGCCTTGGCAGTGCTATACTCAAGCCTGATCAATGAATAATGATGGATCAATGAATAATGATGGACAGTTGACAATTGATAATACCTTGATAAAGATATTTGCAGTCCCACTCTTACGGATGCTAGGGTCTCGATGAGAGTACATGATCCTGATCGACTTGCCATTGATAGGAGTGAAGTTTAACACATCCATTGCCCTTGTAGCTGAAACAAAGAAAAACGGTATTGGTAGTAAATTTAATGGAAATGAACTTCAGGTAGAAAACTTAAATAAACAGACAAAGAGATGCTATCATATCGCCAAGAAATCAGTAAAAAGAATATCAAGTAAATTTACACAGACTAGTGTACATTACTTCTCTCTAACATTTGGATGGTAATAGACAAGCAGCAGCCTACGTGTGGAGCCGCAAAAGGAAGGTGATATAAAATCAACCTATAAAAGCAAAGGGAAGGGTAGCAATATGTATTTTTCATCTATCCATAAACTACAAACAAAGCTAGTAGATAGACTTATCGCCAGAATTGGAGCCACACCCGAATCAAAGTGTCAAACTGAAAATAAATTAACAGCAATAGCTGACCAGCTTACAGCTGACTTGCGTTGTTCAAAAACCTAAAAATTCTAAACTTTAGGCACAACACGCAATCTTGTCAAGCATCCAGAAGTATGCCTACCCATCAATTATCACACACCAAAGCATAAGACGTTACAGAATACCCTCATGCAAATCCTACATTCCAACAAAGACCACAATGCAAGTCCCTATATCATAGAAAATCATTCATATACATAAATGCCAGGGGAACTTATACAGGAAAAAGAGAATAGAAAAGAAGAAACAAGCTTTACCATCCTGAGGATTGCTATAGTTGACGTAGCCATAGCAGAGTGAGCGGCGAGTGCTGAGGTCCCTACAGACCCTAACCGAAACCACTTGTCCCACCTGGTTGAACAGATCGTACAATTGGGAGTCCGTCACGTTGACGTCCAGGTCACCCACGTAAAGCGAGGTTGACAAAAACTGATTCCCTCCACCAATGGGAGCCGCTGCTGCCGCCACAGCAGCACCACCAGCCGGAGCCGCCACTCCATTCGGCCCAGCTGTCACTCCCGCATTCTGCACCTGAATCTGCGCCATTTTTTCCTTTTCTCAAAAATAAAACTTATTTAATTTCCCCCTCCTAAATTACTATGACTGTAATTTTTGGGTAAATTAAAGAAAAGGCGGAGGGCGTGATGAAATTGGGACAAAAATATAAAATCGTCGGAGGATCCGAACGAACAATGAAGACGATGGATAGATAGAGATGATTTTTACTATATATCAATAGATTTTGTATTAAAAAGAAAAAAAAAAGAAGAAGGAGATGAAGAAGAAGAAGAAGAAAAAGGGCAAAAAATTTTGGTTTTTTTTTTTTTGGATTTTACGGCAGGGGAGGGCAGGGGGAACTGCACCGCAACAGGCAAGAAGACAACAGTGAGGTTTATAATGAAGCACCCAAACGGTGGTGACGTATGAGAAACCCTAACGGGGTTAGGTCTCCACCGTTGGATTCTAATAGGGGTCCCACTTGGCGGTTACATTTTAGACTGAACGGTGAGATAGATTCACGATTCGGTTTCAGTTTGCTTGTGGACGCCGTTAGATGTTTTTGATCAACATTTCAGGTTCAGTTTGATTGTGACACGTGGGGAAATGTGCATGGGAGTTTTAGTAGCGTGGTTGAATCTAGCCGTGGGCTAATGTCATCTCTCGGCTGTATTCCTCTCACTTTTTACAATCTACGAAAGAAAACTACGTAGTATTTTCATGTCTATCATTTCCTTCCTCAAGAAAAACATTTCTATCTTTTGGTTTCGATATATAGTATTAAAAATCAATCGTTTTTGCTGGGGGAAATGACACAACATGAAAATGTCTATATGTGAGAAGTGAAAGCCCAATTAAACACAAATGTTTGGATAGTAGATTATTCATGATAAATTTTTGAAAAAAAAAATGCTATCTCACTTTTTTTGATGTAATGTATGTAAGATAAGATGGTGATCGAAAAATATGTTTATGATACAACTAAATAAATTTGTGTAAATAATTCACTATTCAATTTCCCACTCTTTTGATCATTGATGAATATTTTTGTTACAACCACTCTATGACAAATTATTTTGTCAATACGGGGACTAAACCACCATCGGACTAGACGGCTGCACTACGCACCGTGCACCCGTCTGAATTTTTTGAGGAGAGTCACTTTTTAATGTGGCGAATTTGCCTTCCACCCCACTAAGCTTTAATGCATTGGTGGTCGCGCACTAACCCAAAGGCCGGTGGTTTTTTAAATTTCTAGCTTGATCATTTTTTTTTTTGAAATCAAAAGAATTGAAACTTTTGAAAAGGATAAGTTATACAAACTTTATTTGATTAATATGTAACTTAAGAACGAGTACAAACTAAGACATAATAGCTGTCACTAATTGTTTAAAAAAGGAAAAAGTGAAATGAATGGGTTTGTGGCATATTCCTCAAAATGATGTAAGTTAAAGAGTTTCAAGCTATTGAGATGAAAAAAAAGGAGAAAAGAGATCACAATTCCCACTTGTGAGTTGTGATAGAATATTGTCGAGGTGATGAGTAGGTACTCTTGTGATTGAGACGATGATTTCTTTGTTTTCTTTTTTTCTCCCACTTTTTTTTTTTATTATTTATAACCAGGTCTGAACTTTGATATACAGGTGTAGTGGTATGATGGATGGATGAAGAAAAGCCCTAATATTCCGAAGTCGCTTAGTATGATAAATTAATAATTGGTCTCTGCGTTAGTTTGGCCAGAGATCATTAATTAACTGACGATTAATTTTGATGGTTTGGAATTGTGTGTCTTAAGAAGTATTGAGACAGGGAAATCCCGTAGACAATCAACTAATCATGCATGCTTTAAACGACCTTCATGAACACAAACTAATTGCAGCTTGACATATACGTCTCTGAGCTCATTTCCATGGACTTAAGTGCAATTTCAATTTTGACCTTTTTATTTTTCCTTTTAGCGTATGATTTAATATATGAGAGATAAAAAAAATGATTAAAAAATATGTTCACGAAAAATATAATAATTTTTTTTTAGAAAATTGCAATCCAAAAATAGCGGTTTTCCACCAAAAAGCATGAAGAATTCTCTAGGCAGGGTGTGTTTTGTTGATTAATCAAGTGTTAATCTACTAGTAATCATTTGAAGAAGAATCGTAAAATGAATCATTTTCTAGAGTTTTTTGTAAAAAAATCGTATTATAGTGATTTAATATATGTGAAATAAAAAGTTAATTGATAAATGTATTCATGAAAAAACGTAAAAAAATTTTGGTGGAAAAATAGCTTTTCCGAACAACAAGGACATTGTATAGCCTCTAACGAACTGAGCACAGGAAGAAAACCATAAAGAAACTATTCTTAATTTTTTTCTTCAGGTATACTAACACTTACCAAAGGAGATGTACAATTATTAGGGATAATATCAGAAACCTCCCTTGAGGTTTCTCCTAATATCACTTGATACCCCTGAGATTTTTTGAAATATCATTTACCTCTCCTAATAATTGCAAAAAGATTATATTAACCCTCATTTGACACATAATTCACATATCAAATAAATGGAACTCACAAATTTTTTAAAAAATCACTTTTTTCTCTTTCTCTTTTCTCCATCATTCTTTTTTACTCATTTTTTGCATGACTATGCAATATTTTATTTATAAATTATAATAAATTAAATTTTTTATCTTATATTTTTTGTAATTGTGATAAAGTGGAGTATGATTTATTTGCTTATTTTGAGTTGATTTTTATAATGATTGGTACAATTTAATGGTTTAAGCAAAGGTTCAAAAGATGTTGAAAAAGAAAAATAAAAGTTCATAAGAAATCGGCTTTGAACATATAGAGTTAAATTGGTGCAAGTGTATTTCTCTTCAAATATCTTTTGTTTTACAAATTTATATTTTTATGGGGTATAACATTATGATGTAGTATTATAAGAGATTGTTTTTTAGATGATGATTTTCTTGAAATTAACAAAGTGGATCAGGAATATTTTTATTTAACAAATGAAAGAGTAGTTTAGGGTTTATAAAAATTTTGTAACATAAATAATAAAAGTAAGGGAGGTAAGTGATATTTTTAAAACCTTAGTGTTGCCAAGTGATAATAAGGAAAATCTCAAGGGAGGTTTCTGATATTATCCCAAATTATTAAACTATGTGGCCGTTTAAACTTTACTCAATCAAAACGAATTTGATTTGATTATGTTTAAAGCCTAATATATACATTTAGAAAGAAAAGTTGCACCAAAGCTTTACATGCAACGTTATTAAAGCAGATCTCATCATCATCTTCAGATGACAATCGGACTAGCAGCTGGCGCCGATCCGTCCAATAAATGATTAGTTATACTTTAGGTCAAATTTGAAAGGTAATGTAATTTCATAGGCCAATCATTAAGGATTAGAGCTAAGAATATGAATGATTACATGCACTAAACCTTGTGTGTCTCAGGTGGAATTAGTCAATAATCATACGCGGCGTTGCAGAACCACACCTGGGCCGAATTAATCCCATCCTTCGTTAACTTCTTATCGAAATCGATAAATAACCCTCACACACCTACCTGATTTAAACAAACGCAGGAGTTAATCGAAAAATCATCCCTCATTAACCAATCGACCAGAAATTATGCTAAACTAACAAAGAAGCATCAAGCAAAATACAAAAAGTTAATAAAAGGTGCGGTCTTGATCAGTAGGGTAAAGCTACAAATACGACCATGCTGTGGACATCAGCTTTACATGAAACGTCAAATATTGAAGAAGAAAGAAATGGACGTGTAATTCCCTCCACCCAAGATCACTGTATACAAACCAGACTTCTCTAGTCTAGTAATTTAAATTCTAGGATCCCTTTCCAAACTCCTTAATTTCCCACCAACAACATGTCATATCTATAACTGATCTTCGACCCCACAAACCACTACTAGAAATATACACAAATGTGCAAGGCCCTGAATGAATTTGTTGCTTAGCAAAAGTCGCACAAAAAAAAAAAAAAAAAACAATTCTAGCTAGTTGAACTTGAGTACTGTATATATTGGCATTCCAATTTAGATTTCATTGATTGATACTGTTTCATGAAAGGCAAGAGACAAACCATCTTTATCAGTTTTGAAGTCTAAAATAGTAGTACTATGTGGGAAGTGGGAGTAGGATATGAACGGAAGATGGAGGTTCGTGGACTTCAGTGTCCTACTGTCACGGTTTCGTAACTTTTAACCTAAAAGCTAAGGAAAACAAAATCGCTATAGTCAAAAGGGCCGATCAGCCGCGACAGAATATTGGAAAAAAAGAGTCGTGGTAGTAGCAACATTTTCCAACGAGAGACAGAAACACTTTGGTTTCAGGTTAGGAACAGAATAAGGAGGATCAGGATCATGATCAGGGTACAAAGATACAATACTTGTCTTTCTTCTTTCCCGAAACAAAGAAAGAAAAAAAGCAAGAAAAGTACTGCATGAAATTAAGCAAATTACAACTGAAACCGAGATGAAAGATTCTTGAATTTTGCCTTGAAGTTTTCATCTGTTCTCTGGGTGCAATGGGAAGAGTTCTAGGGTCCTATCTCCCTCATTTCTACAATATCTCTTGTCCTCTTCCAAGCATTCAAAAGTCCATGACCTGCACTTTCTCTTGTAAGGACTATCTTCTTCTCTCCCAAAGTCTCCCTACACAAATTAACATGTCCTCAACATGTTAAGCACTTCATTTTGACTTTTTGAGCTAGCAGCGCATCATAATGTATACCCTAATGAAGTAAAACCAAAAAATGACAGCTTTTTTTTGTACGAAATTATATCTTCAGACTAGGGAGATTAAAGTCTTAAATTCTTGATAAATAACTGTACCAACTTCAAACTCTCCAAAGTATATATATAGAAGGTTAAGAACAAAAACAAAATCAATTATGAAGATGAGACGTACCCTTGACTCATGTGTTAAAGAACTACTAATGGTAGTGGTGGTGGTGACACCAGGAGCTCTTGGACTATGGTTAAGGCCGAGATTATTGCGCTTTTGCTTCTGCCTCTCGCGTGCTTTGTGGTTTTGGAACCAGTAAAACACATTTTTCCCCTCTATCTTTCCATACTTTCCCAGCTGTGCCGTGATTTGTTCAATTTGTTGAGCATTTGGAGTCCTCATGCCCCCTCTGTACAGCATTTCTAGTATACCTATTTGCTCTTGGGTTGGATTCCACCTCGTCCCTCCCGGGTGTGTATCCACCTGCATGTCAAATCATCATAAGCTCAGCAACTATATTTCCAGTATCCTTAAACAAGTTCATCACCGAAACTAGCTACATGCTTGACGTCCTTTGTAAGTTACTGCCATGCAATACATGTACGTGAATTAATTGAGGGTCTGAAATTGTTAAATTACATGGGCAGTTTCTCTCTTGTCGTCTGAGGATCCGAGCTTTCTGGGGCCGCTTTCAGGTCTGATGAAGCTCTTGAGATCGAAAGGGGGGACGGTGGTGGGAGTATTGTCGGTGTTGGAGAGCTTGGGCGCAAGAGGGCGTAAACGCTTGCAGCCAAGCGTGAGGGATGGTTCATGCTCCCAAAATCCACGTGCAAACTGATGCACCTTCATGCTTCCCATGGGTGCCAATTTGATGATGAAAGTGTAGCAATTATATAGAAGGATGAAGGAAAGAAAGAAAGAAAGGAAGGAAGGAAGAAAGAAAAGAAAGTGGGAAATGAGGTGGTGCCTAGAAGAACCAAGACCAAATGATGAGGTGAGGTTGACTTGGGATTTCCATTTCAAAAAAAGAAAGAAAAAGTGATCTGGAGTAGAGAAAAAGAGAGAGTGAGTGTGTTTTTGTGGGTGTGTGATGTAGAAAAATGTGCTATCATTGTATTAGTGCATTGAGCGTGTGGATGAAAAGAGCGTGTGGATGAGTGCTAGCTGTTGTAATTGGTCTTGTAGTATCAGAAAATTTTCTGTATTTAAGACTGATTGTACAATAGTTGTCACCAAAAAAATATATATGTATATATATATATATCGAGTTTAATTTTTTTTTTTTTGGGTCTGGAGGCTACTTCTCCAGATTGGGCAGAGTTTTGCCCCAAAAATACCCAACAACGGTAGCACGTGAGGGTCGAACTTAGGATCTTGCTGTAACTACAGGTGACCTGTCCCACCCAAATTACCCACGAGAGGCTATATTGAGTTCAATTAGACTGGTGATATTTATACGATTGTCGTTCCATATTATATACATTCAGGCACATATCAAAATTGAAAAAGTATGGTATATATAGATGGATGCCCATGTAGATGTAGGTGGTGTTTTTAATTAACACTTCCAAGAACGAAATTTACACACTATAATTGATTGGTAATTTGAGGACAAAAGAATCATGTATTTCAAGGACTTGTGCTCTTTAATTGCTAATTTAACTTAGATTTTCTTAAAGGTATTGATGGTATGTATGTGTGTGTGTGTGTGTATATATATATATATATATATATATATATATGCGTGTGTTGGGTAGTCTAATCGATCGGGGTGGTATTCTTTCTCTCTTGCTTTCATGATAAGGTGTGTATGCTTTTCGGTGGCCTCTTTGGCTCTCTTCTAAACTTTATCACTAAAAAAAGGTGAAGAGGGAGGGAATGAAAAAAGATTCCTCCAATCCCAAAACTTGAAAATGGAACTCTTTGCTTTCTAAGATACGGATATGGTCGTGGTGTGAGAAGAACTGAATGCCGTCTTTTAGTGGTAGAGCATGTTGAAAAAACAAACATATTAAACCAAATCTCTCTATCTCTCTGATAAGCCATAATCTATCTATCCATCCATCTCTCTCAACTCAAATCCTTTTCTTTTTCTTTGGGAACTGTAGTTCCAATTTCCAAAATAGTATAAAACCACCATCGATCTCTCACTCACTTTATATCCCTCTTTTGTATCACAAATTCTTGCATGCATGATTCAAACAAACACACACCTTCACACCCTTGTCTAATTAGTCACTACGTACTGCTATGCTTTGCCAATTTTCTATCGAATAATCATTGTCTGCCACGTACTGATCTTGACTCTGATATGATTAGCTAGCTAGTTTAAGTTAATCACACTTGCCAATTTTCAGCTGATCAGGAAGGACTCTACGTACTGCCCCAAAAAATATATATATATATATATATATATATATATATAATTGATGATCACGATTTAGAATGTTAAAAACCGCAACGGATCATATGTCCCACACTCTGTGCCATTCTCTGTCCCATTTTTTATTATATTGCTATTTTTCCTTCATAAATATCATGTTTTAGTTCTTTTTTGTTTCCTTAAGATCCAATAACTACTAATTCAGTAATACACAAAATTTAACAAACTCAAAAAATCAAAATGCATAAAAAATGAGATCTTTTATTCATTTTCTGCTGTATTTTTTAATTTTCTATTATATATTACTTTTTTGAAGCTGTTATATTTATTTTTTACTGAATTAATAATTATTGAATCATAAAGAAACAAAAAAGAACTAAAACATGATGTTTATAAAGGAGAAATAGCAATATAATAAAAAATGGGATAAAATATGGGACAGAAGATCCGTTGCGGTTAAAAACACCAATATATCTAAGGTGCATGCAGATATCTGCTTGTCATGCCTTGTTAATTATATTGCCTTCCATTTTGGCTGTTAATTGTTCTCATCTGCTTGTCATGAGCTAGCCGGGCCATAGTTTTGAGGACTAAATCAAATGAGAGCGGCTTCGGCTTCAGCTTCGGGTATCCAAAACTCAATAATGCATCGTCACTCTACTCTAGCAGCAAAAGAAGACTGATCGGTCAATAAAGCTTCAAGAGAAGAAATGGATGGAGATCTGAGAGTTTCACGAAAATATATATTCTTGAAAGTAGCATGTGCAATCTTGTCCTCAGCATAGATTTGCCCACGACATTAAGTCAAATTTGTGGTATAATTTCAAAACCCGATCTTCTAAATATCTCCTTCGGCATGGTACAATCACAAAACAAACAAACAAACAAAAAAATTAATATTGTGTTCATAATTCAAATTTGGCCATTAGAATCTAAACAGGTGGCCGGAACAAGTACACCTCGGACCTTAATGTCTAATCAGATGTTCAAGTTTTCTCTGTCTTGTTCCTAACCTCGAACTTGCACTGCAATGTGGGGATTGGGAAGTATGAAATTGTTCATGATCTCAAGCATTTGATTGCGTTGTGAATTTGCACCTTGCCAGCCTTGAAATGGAGGAATATCCTTTTTTTTTTTTGTTGTAAAAGATACTTCTTAGCGTGTTGACATTAAGCAAAGGGCACCTTATTATCCCTTTCTTTCCAATTTCTAAACACTACTGTACTTCACTCTTCTTCTTCTTTTTTTTCTTTTGGAGAAAAGGAACTAACCAATTACAAATATACAAAAAAAAAAAAAAAAAAAACTGGGTCTTAATTTCCAGCTAACACCAAATCTAGGAGTGATAAACACCGTACTTCACGAGCACCGAACTTCTATAGGTCGTTGTTGGAAATATGTTTCCATATTCGCATACATACATATAACACGTATATGTATACAGTATTCGGATTTTTAAAATCCTACGAATATTACAAAATGCCTAAATAGAAGTCAGTGACAAAGTAAAACTAGTTAGTTAAAAGTGCCGTAAATCTGTCATCTCTACACAAAAACTTTGTTCAACTTAAACTACATTGATTTTAGAGTAAAGAATCTCAGCGGCCACTAAACTATTGGTCAGACCATATTTTGGCCATCAAATTATTTTTCGTCAATAATTGGCCACTAAACAACTTAATCAGTAAATTCGTGACCATTTAGTCGATAATTGCTCTTAATCTGTAAAATTAGCAGTTAATCTGTGAAATAGGATTGCGTGATTATTGGACAAAATTATCCCGCACTTTATCACGTGTGCTGCTAATTTCACATATTAAGAGCAATTATCGACTAAATGGTCACGAATTTACTGATTAAGTTGTTTAGTGGCCAATTACTGACGAAAAATAGTTTGATGGCCAAAACGTGATCTTGTGGCCGCTGCGATTTTTTACCCTTAATTTCATGTAAAACCTTGCGAGGACCAAAATTGGTTTTGTGTGCTAGCTGCACTAAAACTTTCTCCAACCCTGGCTTTTAGCCGCATAAGAATTTAAGAAAATTAAATTATGTACTGCGTAAAACGGAAAACCTACTTAGATACTCTACTACTATATGAATAATTTACTGGGGGAGAGGGGGCCTTCTAAAGATTCAAAATAATTTAGTACTCTAGTATTCTAGTACAAGTCCTGGCATCCAGAAGGTCAATCTACACCATGACCGATCATATTTCATGGGTTTTATGATGCCAAATATTGACATTGCGGTTCCCGGCCAAAAGTTAGCAGATCACAATTGACAGTAGTGCTAACACCTTCAATCGCGACAGGATAATTTATGGTCGTATACAAAATTCTCTAACCTAGTTTCCTAGGGCTTCATAATTCGGTACCTAGTCTATGTTTGTTAGGACTTCTTGTCACGAAAAAGAATAATGCGTGTCAAGCCAATCTTAACTTTAGCGAAAAAACATTTATCTTGCACGCATTTTAGTATTACTACAACATATATGCCTTATTAAATCAGAACCAGTTAATTACTTAAGGCGTTCTATATTTTTTTTTTTGTTACGAAACACGTCTAAATATATTAAAATCTGAACCTATTAAATTTAATTATTGAATTGAGTTATTAAACAAGACCTTACTTTTCTTTAAAGTTCTCTGATCGGAGGATAAGGGTGTGTTTTTAAGTATAGAAGAGGTCCTATATTTTATTTTTTTAGAAAAAAAAAAGTTTGAGAGCCTGAATCAATGGATCCATCATGAGCAAACTAAAAGTCGCTAAAAGTTGAACCGATGAGACAATAAGAGTTGAACATACAAATTGATAACCTTAAGGCATTTGAGAGTCTCTAAAATGGCCAATTGGCGAAGACTTCATAGAAGGTTTTCCAATGAAAAGGAGATGAAATTGCTGTTTTGAGACAGCATCCGTCGGCACTTCAAAGAAAAAATGAGGAAGCCTATTCTTTTTCTTTCTTTTTTTTTTTTGATTTTAAATTTTCTCAACCATCCCCAACATCTGCCCTCCGGTCCCAGTCGCCCAGAGAAAAAAGATATGAAAATAAAAGATGAAAACGTGGGAGAGAGATAATTATATGTTTCCGGCCAGCGGGGAAAAAGTGGAGTGAATGATTATTATGGAAATTCCAGCAAGAATTATGAGTTTTCTCTTCTTTCATTTTTTTTTCCCACCATGACGTGAAAAGTTTTGGACAATCATCAGCTTTTGTTGCATGTTCAATACCAGTGCCTTAGGAAAATCAAAACGTAGAGAATACTCGCGAATGAATATACATACCTTTTCATTTCCAATTCTTTTTATTTTTCGAAGTCTTTGTCCATGCATGCTATGCTCTGCTCTGTCCCTCGGTCCCAAAGACACGCCCCAGTGATATGTCGGTACCACGCATTTGAATTCTCTTCATATGCTTTTTGTTTTAAAATACTGTTCAATTTTGTCCGTACGTAAGATACATTTCCCGGCGGTGCATTTTTCTCATTCCTGTGCTGTTCTGTTCATTTTTAC